AGATAGGTACCTTCATTACTGTCGAAATAAAGAGAGACAATTGTACTTAGTTACAGATCGACATTTTCAGTCGCTTCTGCTGACGCGTGATTATTGAATCTGTATTGCACTATTCTTGATTTAGGGGATTACATTAATGGTAAACTTTGTTTCATTGACGTACCATCGGCATCGATAAAGTAGTGCAGCAGATCTGATTTGTAGTTTGTAGCATTACATGTGTAGTTTCCAAGGTTCTCTTCAAGAACCTTATTGAATTGCAGTATTGCTTTGCCTCTACCACTGAATAAATTGTCAGTTTGACCAGTTCTTGTCCAAACAACAGTAGGAACAGGATTACCACTTGCAATGCATGTGATTTCAAGAGGATATCCGAGGCTGACTTTTTGTTTGTTTCTTAAAGGTTGCGTTATCGTAGCAGGGGCTGAAAAAGGTCAAAATGCTGAATTCATGTCAAACAAGTCTAGAAAAACTTTTGGAACCAATAGGAACAGTTCAATGACGCAACCCGTTTGCAAACTCAATGATTCAAAACATTTTGAAACCAAATACAAACCCGACCTACTGGCCGTTTCCATATAGCCTGTGAATGATTATGATCAAAAGTAGTATATATGCCTTACAAGATTGTATTGACAAGAATAGACGACTAAGGAACTGGAAAGGAGGTGCCCGCAGATGAAAGATATACTGGATTAGACGGAAATGAAAAGACATGCAGTATGGGAATTGGGTCAATGGGCGGAATTGTAAGGAGTCAAGGAAGACTGGAAAGGACGACGAGCGATGGAAACGCTCAACAAAAGGCTCTGGAATAAAACGGAGGGGAAAAAAAAGGGGAAAGCTGTTTTTTTACCCTCCCGCTCTACTCAACCCCTCCCCTCCACCCATAAGTAAACCCGTGCCTTTACCTTTTGGTTTTTCACTACTTTTTGGTCCTTCACTACATTGGCATTTGTCGGTTATGTTGAGGCCCAGCAAGTTACACCGAGATACCGCATCACGGTTGCAAGAACATCTGCATTGTCTTGAATCCCAAGTCTGTAAAGAATGATCGATTGAATTTGCTGAATATTTGATTCGATGACGGATGTAGCGGCGTTGTATCGGATGATCGGATGAACACTAAAAAAAGCTAGAAATATCTTATCAGCGGCGGCCCACCTATTTTGAATGCGATATCTCTTTGATAGCTTCAAGTTTGGACAAAATTCAATGTTTTGATAAAAAGAAGTCTCAAAAGGTCTCAAAATTAATTGTGAAGTAGGGAAGGCGTTTGGGGTTTAAGCTTCCTACAAGGCTTTGTACCCGGGGCTCGGGGCTTTGTACTATCTAGATGCGGCAACATTCATTTCCTGATATCTTTTTTACTATACCTTTTCGACGGTGCACACTTCTGGGGGCCTTTGACACATACATGCACAATCATGTGAACTCCAAAGCAATCCAGTAGGACAAGGTTTAGGCGGGCTAACATATTTACAGATACACGGACAAGTGCGGTTGTCTTTTGTACAGTTATTTGCCGTATTAACGCATTCACAACCACATTTGGTATGTTTCAGAACGTTGATAGGTACAATGTCTTCTAGATTATCGTCGACTACGTACATCATTACATCTTCAGATTCCAGTGCCACACACCTATACATAGTGGGTGGAAAACAATTACCGCCGCAACGGTCTATTTTCACGGTCTTGGGATAGTATTCGGGATGAAGAGAGACCAAGTGCGGATGTGGACTGCATGGCGCGTTGTTAAATGTTCCGCTAGCGTCTGCAAAACAGAATATGTATTTTCATACGCGCTGAACTAGATAATGCATAAAATGAGGAGTACAGTGATGGAAAAGATCAATTATTGTCAGTCAACGTGTCATCTTACACACATACATAAGCGCACATAATTACATACTCGAGAAAATTTCAAAGCATTCCTCGAGCACAACTATGGTGAAATGTATGTTCCTTGGGAGGTGTATGTCGGGAGACTGGTTCAAACTGTGTCAAGAAGAAGAAGAAGAAGAAGAAGAAGAAGAAGAAGAAGAAGAAGAAGAAGAAGAAGAAGAAGAAGAAGAAGAAGAAGAAGAAGAAGAAGAAGAAGAAGAAGAAGAAGAAGAAGAAGAAGAACAAGAAGAAGAAGAAGAAGAAGAAGAAGAAGAAGAAGAA